TGCTCCATGGAGGAGCCCCCCACCCCACACTCTCCCCAGCTCTATGGAGGAACACCCACCTCACACTTGGACTCTCCCTGCTCTATGGAGGAGCCCCCCACCCCATACTTGGACTCTCCCTGGCTCCATGGAGGAGCCCCCCACCCCACACCTGGACTCTCCCATGTTCCCCCCACCCCCGACCTCCACACTTGGACTCTCCGTGCTCCCCCACCCCCGACATCCACACTTGGACTCTCCCATGCTCCATGGAGGAGCCCCCCTAACTCCACACTTGGACTCCCCTTTGAGGGCTCCGTCTCAGCGCCTCTTCTGCGTGCAGGCCAGTGCAAGCCGGCACACCTTCGGTTCCAGGGAAGCCTCAGGTGGAACCCGCCTAGCACTTCCGACAGAGGCCTCGTGCTGGGAATGCCGAAGCCCACGTGCAAGCTCATCAGGTCATTGCAGAACAAGGTGAGCAGTCAGCCCCTGGCCACCCCAGCCTGCTTCACCCACTCTAGATGCCCCGTGATGGGGACCCTCACGGTGACTGATGCGTCCAGCTTCTCTCACTGAGCACAGCCACACTGGGACGCATCCCTCAGCGGGTCCTCAGTGACATCTCGCTTTGCCAGCCTGTGGTAGAATGAGAAGGCCATGCCAAGATGGCCGCTGGCAACAGAAACTGCCTGGCAACAGGCTGTGATTGGATGGTTTCGGAAAACCACATGACAACGGAGCCTGCCTGGCAACAGGCTGTGATTGGTTAGGGCATAGACCGCCCCTTGACCAGATTGGCTGGTCTTGGCTATATAGGCTGCTGTAGCAACTGAAATAAACGAGTCTGTGGGCTGCTAGCCTCAGGCCCACTTTCACCCACCTCCCGGGGTCTGTGTGGTGACTCCACGCCTCTTGCCCCCCAGCATGCTCCTCCTCTCAGAACAAATCAACTTCAACATCTGGTGCCCAACGTGACTGAGAGAGAGACAGCGTGTCAGACTCGGCGAGGTCCCCCCTGGATTTCGGCAAGAAGGCCCCTCGGTGTTTTGTGTGCTGTTCAGTTCTGTGAGGGTGAGCACAGAACCCCCTCCTACGCCCCTTTCCTTGTCCTTGTCCTCGGTCTAAGTGACCCCAGGTTAGGCACACACCGCCCTGAGGCGTACGCCGCTTCTCGGCTCCTCCTTTTACTTTCGGTTCGCCTGGCGAATTCACATAAGGGACTGATCATCCCAGAATTCAGAACCAAGTCATCTTCCTTCACTGAGAGAGGGGACGCTCCGGAGACACAGTGTGGGCATACGGCCTTGATCTAACAAGTCAAGGAAGTCCCCCACTAAGCACAGGACATACGTACAACCTGACACACCACTGTCTGTTCTTCTAACGGAGGGAACTCCTGCAGAATGCCATCAGCCGCTCAGGTGCTAGGGATTTGCTTTGTTATGGCAGCAGTGCTGTGCGTGTCTTTCCTTTGGCTAGAATTGGTGTGGTGCGCCGTTCTTAAATGCTCAGACTTGGGAAAGATACCCCCCAATCCTGCACAGATCACCAAACATAGTGAATCTGTGAGTGATCAGAGACTGACACTCCGGGTCCCTGTCTCACAGACAACAGTTGATGATGACTTAGGGAGAGAGAACACTAAAGGTGAAAATGACAATGTAGCAAACAATGTAGCAAACAAGGTAGCAAAGAAGGTAGCAAACAAAGTAGCAATGCCTAGTCAGCCACATACCCATGGGATGAACTTAGAGGACCTGGAGACAATAACCCACGCGAGGTCATCCCATCCGCACCCAGTGAGGATCCCCACATTTGTGGCCGTCCCCAGGCACCCCAGGCTCTCAGGGCAGCTGCTAGACCCCATTCTGCCCGCGTGTTTGCCATAAATGTAGGAGCGGACGCAGAATTCAGGCCCTGGATTCCAACGCCTGTAACAAGGTGTCTGCTAACCAAGGGCCGAGGATACGCTTGTGTCTTTCCAGAGAATGTGGGACAGCCCATTTGGGTACCAGCCAGAAGCATCAAGCCTGTGACTGACAGCCAACCAGAACCAGCTGAACAAGACTGAGAGTCCATCTTGTTAGCGGATGCACCTGCCCTATCATCCTACCCTGAGAATTCGCCCATAGCCACATCTGCTACTGCTTTATACCCCACTAGCTCTGGTCAGCCACTCAGATGGCCCACAGCCTGTGTGTGCTCACGCCATTCCTGATAACCATTGTTCCTCATTCCTACCCCCATCTGAGCAAGCACTCCTGTGGTCTCCCATTTGGAGCGCTGGTTAGTCAAAGACGGGTAAGATCCCCGGGGGGACAACCTAAGACAGGCACAGCGTGTATGGAGACCACACGGAAATGAGGTCAACAATGGTATGGCCAAGAATCATGCCTCCCATTGCTCAAAAATAAACGAAAAGGGGGAAATGTGGTGGAATGAGAAGGCCATGCCAAGATGGCCACTGGCAACAGAAACTGCCTGGCAACAGGCTGTGATTGGATGGTTTCGGAAAACCACACGACAACAGAGCCGGACTGACAACAGGCTGTGATTGGATGACTTCAGAACTGCCTGGCAACAAGCTGTGATTGGATGGTTTCAGAAACCACATGACAATGGAGCCTGCCTGGCAACAGGCTGTGATTGGATGGCTTCAGATACTGCCTGGCAACAGGCTGTGATTGGTTAGGGCATAGACTGCCCCTTGACTGGATGGGCTGTCTTGGCTATATAAGCTGCTGTAGCAACTGAAATAAACGAGTCTGCTGGCTGCTCGCCTCTGGCCTGCTTTCACCCGACTCCCGGTGTCTGTGTGGTGACTCCGCGCCTCTTGCCCCCACCACGCTCCTCCTCTCGGAACAAATCCACAGCAACACCCGCCTTCCGTCCCCTTACAGGTGTTTGGGCTGCCCACGTCTCGGCTATCATGAGCAGTGCTGGTGTGGGCATTCAGGGCAGAACCACACCCGTGCCTACATTTGCAATTCCTGCAGCCGCGTGCCCAGCGCAGACATTTCTGGCTGGACAGGAAGTCTCTGTTGCACCGTGGGGAGCTGTCACCTGTCACCCCCGGGGTCATCAATCCTCGTGACCTTACTCCGAGGACACAGCACATTCGCCATGACCGTGGTTTGTGTTCCCTGAAGACCCATGCTGCGTCTCCTCTCACCTGCCCATCATTCCTCCCTCTTCATTGTCTTCTTAATGTCTTCTTAATGTTGGCTGTTTTTAATTCCCCATCTTTCTGTTGTTGAATCACAGGAGTTCTTTATATAGTCCAGAAAAATCCTTACCAGATCCACGATCCGCAGACAGCTGCCCCATCGCATCTCTTGACTTTCTGTTTTCCTAGTCACAGCCTGCAGCACTCCAAAGCTTGTCACGTGGCCAGGGGCCACTCCTGGGACGTTGCTGCTGCTGACACTATGGTGCCAGATTGAAGGACTCGTCACCAAAGCCACGGCCTCCCACATCCCAACTCGCTGGTCCAACAGCTCTGCGGTCAGGGTCGCTACATCAGGCCGCCGGCAGGCTGTCAGTGGATGTCTGTGTGCGAGCTGCGGGCTGTGCCCACCCCTCCCTCAGGGAGGCCTCACCAGAGCCCTGTGCAGGGAGGGGCAGCAAGGGCAGACCGCCCCCCCCCCCACTCCAGGCTGGGCCAGCGAAGGTTCAGACACACGAGGCGGCTCTCGGCCGACTTCCCGCAGGGCCCCAAGGCTCTCAGCCTGCTGGACTCGGCCGGCAGCTCCACCCCACCGTGGGCTGCACCTGGCCGCGGTCGGTTCCGCTCCTCCATCGGCACCTGTGGCAGCTCAGGATGGGTCTACGTAAGAGGGCGGGGGAAGGGACCAGTCCCGGATGCCTTCACAGACTTCAGCATCTCTAGCCCCCATGGCCTCCGTGGCCCCCGTGGCTCTCAGACCCCGGGGCTGGATCTGGTGGGTGCCGGGCCTGGACCCTCCACCCGCCTCCCTCACCGAGTCTCGGAGCAGCTGCCGAAGCCGCCCGAGGTATCAGACCTGCAGGTGCCCGGGAGATGCCACCGGTTCCCATGGGTTCTGGAACCTTCTCGCTCCAGTAGCTCGTAACGGGGTCCTGTGCTGTGGTCACCGCAAGGCCAAGCTCCACGGGCACCAGGATGGGGTGAACGGCCTGCAACCGTGCAGCCCCCACCTCCGTCCCCTGGAGCTGTGCGGCTGCTCCGTGGGCGGCAGCTGGGGGAGGAGCGGGCGAGGTGGGACTGCTCCTTCACCTCACTCCCGGTCAGGCCCTGAGTGCGTCCTCAGAGACGCGGCTTCCAATCCGACCGTGGTGTCAGCAGCCTCCAGTCTTCAGTAGCGGAGACCACCGGGGCCTGTGCGGAGTGCGCTGGCTTCCGGGGTGGGCCCGTGTGCACCCGTGTCGGGAGTAGGACACGTCCAGCTCCCCACAGAGGCTGTCCCGGCCCAGCAAGGCCACGCCCCCGGGGCTTCAGATGCCTCCTCTGCACAGGCACGGGTGCCTCTCCTCCGCTGCCGCGAGACAAAGTCAAGGCCACGGCCTCGGTTCACCCCCGGCCCCAGACGGCCGTGTGCCTCCATCGCTTCACTGCCTGCCTCACTCCAGCTTCTCAGCTGCAGACACTGGTGTTCCCTCTCCTCTCTCGCCTCCGTCTCCGGTCTTTCTCATCTCCCCTGTCTGAGCCCAGCGCTGCGGGGAAATCGGAGCAGCTGGGAGCTGCGCGAGCCACCCTGGGGCCGCCTCCCTCCACCGCGGGTGGGGCCTGGGCGCTCCTTCCGCTCACTCCCCTCTGCCAGGACAAGTCCAGGGCCCCGCAGGCCTCGCCCTGGCCTTGCATCCTTCCCTGGGGCTGTGCCAAAGCTCCCTGCAGCACAGGAGTGGCGGCGGGGAGGGGCGCCGGAGCACCTGCCTCCCTGCCTGGGAGTGGCCCGGGAGGCGGCCAGGCCACGGGAGCGCAAGGCCACACAGTGGGAACTCTGCTAACTTTTTATTTTTTTAAAAAAAGGGAGAGCAATTCATTTATAGAAAACCTTTTTACAATTTATTTCCGGTTATTAATCTTTAAAGTATAAAAATGAGGCTCTAGCTAAATGCAGGGTTTCAGTGGTGAAATTCTGACCATGTGAACAAATAAATAAATATTTACAGTCTTTGGCAAAACAAAGTTTCATCAACCTATATGAGAAGTTTGTTTTAAAAAACACAAATAATTTACAAGCAATATGGTACATTCTAAATATTCACATCATCATCCCAGGCCAGGGCACTTTGGAGCAAACAACACCGAAAGAGAAACCCGCACACTCTTCACAATTCTCACATTTAATGAAGTCTCCCAACCTCGTTGTCTTGGGAATACATTTTCTACCAAAAAGTAAAAAGTGCAGCGAAACAAAGCAAAAAAGAGTAATCAACCTCAAAGTAAACGACAAAGATTATTTTATCAAAACGAAATGTGTAAATTGAGGCAAAAGATCGGTCCTTTCACTTGGATCTGGAGGCGGGACCGTGACAGAGAGCCCTGGGCCTGTCACAGGAGACCTGCTTCCTCACGGGGATGAGCTCACGCGTGTCACCTGCAGGCCCATCACGGGTGACCTCAGCACTCACATCTCTAAAAAACCCTATGTACAGCAGAAAGCTAACAGCAAAACAGTCTTGGATTACCATCAACAGCAACAATATATATATTAAGGTTCCACTGTCAATTCTTCCTATTTGTCCTATGCGTTCTACACCATGCTGTATCCTGACAACGCAACAGTATTTGCCTTGCGTTCCGACAGGCAGCTAACACTTGCAGTATCATGCCTCTGTGTGCTACGTGGCATATTGAAAATAAGTTATGGGTAAATGGAGCTGTGTCTATGTTCATTTAATAAATATTGAGAGAACATTTATAACCGGAACCTTAATGAAATGCATCATTAAGTTAGGTAAAAGCGACTTTTCCATTATTCCGGGATCTAGCACGGGGGTGGGGCCCAGGTGGCTTTGCTGATTTGCTTTCTGCTTCTCCCGTCTCAGTGGCAGAGCCCAGAGTCGGAGCCAAAACCAGTAGGCAGCTGGCCCAGTGCGCTCTCGGTGCTGCGCAGCACGGGGGCTCGAACGGGGCCCTCGGCTCTGTGAGCCCAGCACGGACTCGAGGCTTCGCAGGAGCAAGCCAGACCCCTGTGCGAGGACATTCCTTCCACGACAAAACGACAGCTCTGCGGAGCGTCAGGGCTCCGCTGGACAGGAGTGGGGAGACGGGTGCCCATCACGTTCCATGTTCCAGCTGGTCAGCCGACCCCGGCTGCCGCCTGAGATGCGCCCACGGTCTCAGAGGACCGTGGGCCTCAGCCTCTGTATCCCGCGTCACTGCTGTGAGACTGACGCTTCCGCCCTGCGTGACTGACCCAGCGGGACCTGAGTGTCACTGGAGCAACCCTCACCCAGGAGCACTGAGAGGAGCTGAGCGATATTTTTCATGCTTAATTTATGATAATGTCATCTGCACAGAATTCCCTCAACTCCATATACACATAAATAGAAGTAATTACATTGTATATGTAAACGTCATTCTTTCCAAACAAACGAGAAAAAGCAGTGTGCTGTGAGGCCAGTCATACGCCACGTAAAGTCTCGTGTACTTCGGATGGTTTCCGTGCGGCTGGGCCTCCTCTTTGGGCTCCATCGGTATTTCCCAGGAGGCACTGGGGTTCAAGGCTGATGATGCAGGCGAAGAACTCGGAGTCAGGTCAAGGGCAGAAGGTACCGCTGGAGAGACAGAAGCTGTGAGCGCCACGAGGGCCCGAGCAGCTCAGGCAACACGGCAGGCACAGCACCACGCCAGCACCACGCACGTCCCGCTTAGACGTCTATTGAAAAACAGCAGCAAACAGAATTAGGACCACTGGACCTTCAGCTTTGTATTACTGTTTCACCTGTAGCTTAAACAGCATTATTGTACTAAAGCAATTCATGTAGACTGCGGGGGAGGGGAGGGGGGAGGGAGGGAGGGAGGAGGGAGGGAGGGAGGACAGGTGGATAAAGGGATGGATGAATAGATAAGGAAACGAGTGTATGAGTTTGTGGATGGGATGGATGGATGAGACACGTGTAAGGATGCAATGGGTGGATGGGTGGACGGATGGGTGGGTGGATGACAGTCGGGTAAGTGAGTGGACGAATGGGAAGACAGATGAATGGAGGAACAGATGGGTGAATATGTAAATGGGTGGTGGAAAGGATGGCTGGATGAGAAACATGGGAGGGTGGCACGGAGGAACAGATGGACGGTGTGAACTAGGATGGATGGAGGATGGGTGGATGATGGATGGATGATGGATGGATGATGGACGGTGGGTGGATGGACATGTGGCCCAGTGGATGAATGGATGGGTCAATGAGTGGTTGATGGATGAAAGGAATGAATGATATGGATGGAACATGAAACAAAAGGCAAGCGGATCTACAGAAGAGAGAACTTCACAAAGCAAGTAGAGGACTTATGTTTTCTCTTCCCTTCCTTTCTTCATTTCACACGTAAATTTCAAAGTGAGACTTGCGAGGCAGCCCCGACCCTGGCGCCCTGGCGGCCTCGACTGTATGGGAGCTGCGGCCTTAGATCTGCCGAGGCAGCTCTGCTCCTGATCTGACCCGTCCATGCACGCCTGGAGAGACAGCCGAAGGAGGCCCTCCCCTCCTCCTCCCTTCACCCCGCTTCCTCTCTCACTCCTCCCTCCCTCCATCCGTAATGAGGGCGGCCACCTGAATACTTCAGGGTTCCCAAAATGCAGAAGATGCAGGGGCTGCAGCATAAAGGACAGCGAGATGAGGGGGCTGTGCCTAGCCAGGGGTATCTGTCCCACAGGCATTCAAATTCAATTTGACCAAAAGGATGAAAGTAAAACACGGTCTGGATTCTCCAAACAGAGCACCTGCTGGGCCCACGCAGGGGCGCTCACGTATACCCCTGTGCACTGCTGTACTGCCCTACCCTGTCTTTACTCTGTAAAAGGAGCGGTGGGCTGCATGACCCAGCCTATGCCACCAGCCCCCGCCCACAGCACACCCACACTCACCTCTGCACTCGTACTTGAGGTCCGAGAAGTAGACCATTTCTTGAGAGAAGACAAACAGACCGAGCCGCCCACCAGAGTAGGTGTGGTCGTAGATGGGGCCTGAGTCAGCCATGACCTGCTTTCCCTCGTGCACGAGGACTCTGGGAACAGGTGCAGGGGGAGAAGGAGAACGTGAGCTCCAAGGAACGCACTCCGCAGGGCCCAGGGTGGCTCCGACACCAGCTGCGGGCAGAGCGGGATCTGACCCCGTGCTCGGGTTTCCGCACAGTCTCCGACGGGATTCGCTTTGTTCATATCAGCACTGGCCTCTGGGGACTTGGCACTGACCAGACACACACCTTCTTTCCCGCATCTCCTGCCACTGCACGGCTAAGGGCAGCACCACAAACACCCAGCCAGGTGTTTGTGAGGCAGCGCTGGCCCGCAGAGGCTGAGCACCATGTGGCAAATACAGAGAATTTCCTGGAGGCCTCTGGGGAAGTCCACGGCCCTTCCGCTTCTGAGTGCCTGCGCCAGCCTCCTCAGGCTGTTGTCACTAGGGTGGCCTGCTCAGCTCCCCACAGGGCTGAGCCGGCACCCAGGCCCTGAGCCGCTGACCTGCAGAGCTCGCTGAAGGGGGGTGCACAGCCTGAGCGAGCAGGCACACCCAGCTGTGGCCAGCCGGCATTCACCTGCACACATCTGCTTCCTGTCACCGGGGACTTCCTGTCATCAACTGGCTCCTGGGTCTTACTTACCTTGCAAAGAAAAACAAACAGAAACCCCAAAGCCTCCATGCTGACTGCCCATATGGTTAACACTCCTGGACTAGCTGTGACAGTTTGGCCCTACTGTGTGCCACAGTCAGCTGTCCACACATCGTTTGGTCCTACTGTGTGCCACAGTCAGCTGTCCACACATCGTTTGGTCCTACTATGTGCCACAGTCAGCTCTCCACACGTGGGAAACAGAGGCCACCGCATTCACCAATGAAACACGCTTGCTTAGCACAGAGGCGGTGACGTCACTGTCCTCCACCGTCAGGGAGACGCTCGCCGCCCTTGGGTGCACTTGCTTATCCCACCCTTTAACCAATGCATTTATTTCATTGAGACGTCCCGCCTGTTGGTTCATTCCCCCAGTGCTGTAGCGGCCAGAGCTGGGCTGGGGCTGGCACTGCACCCAGGCCTCCCAGGGTGCACGTGAGCAGGAAGCGCAGCACAGGAGCCCTGACACGGGAGGCTGGCGTGGACCTGGGGTCTGCACTTCTGGGCTGAACACCGGGCCCTCCCTCCAGGGCAGTTTAGGAACAAAACCGTCACTTCCTCCTCTTGTTTCCCCCCTCGTTTTCAAAGTGAGAAAGGCTGCGGCTCAGATGCAGCAGGAGGGGCGGGCGCCTGCAGCCCAGTGGAGCCGCGTGCAGCAGGAGGGGCGGGCGCCTGCAGCCCAGCAGAGCAGGTGGCTCCGCAGCGCGCCGTCTGGCTGCTTGGAAAACCCACTCACGCCCGAGGCACTGAGCTCGCTCACCTGATGTAGCCCGTCTTGGGCCTGTGGGTCAGGTGCCACCTGTAGGCCGTGTAGTCCTTCCAGCCGATGTTCTTGGGGTCATGCCACAGCGTGCGCACCTGGGGAGACGCACAGCCCGTGAGCAGTGGGCTTCAGGGTCCTCCCCAGCTGCGTCCCATCACGCGGGGACCCCACCAACGACCCCTAGGGCCCTCGCCCACTGTGAGGACACACCCTGCACACCTGTGTGCGACACCCACAGGTGAGCCACGCCCTGGTGCGGACCGTGCCTGAGCCCGACCGTCAGGCCTCCGCTTCCGGGCTTTCTGCTTGCTCGAGGGGTCTCGGGCAGGAAACCGAAACCCTGCGCACCCCCACTCCGCAGCCCCAGATGGACGTTCACGCCGCGCAGGAGCGCTCAGGCCGCAGCGGGTCTCACCTGCCCCTGGGTGTTCCCCGTGTGCCACAGCGCATTCCTCAGGTGCTCGCCCGCACCTGTGGTGGAGTTCACCACCTTGAGCGACACCCCGGAGTAGCCGTAGGCCCGGCTGGGCTGGTCCTCCCAGTAGGTCTGGGTGACCTGCTTCCACATCACCACGTAGAAGCGGCTGCTCGACTGGTAGCCAAAGACGAAGCCAGCGTAGTCGTCGTCCCGGTCAGTGTTGACGTAAAACGTGCCGCTGAAGTCCACGGACCCAAACTCGTCGAACCCTGGGAGCAGAGGGAGACGCGGCTGCCCTGAGTCGCAGCTCCTTCGAGGCCTGGGGGCCCCATCACAGAAAGGCCCATGGAGGAGGCTGGGTGGGGTCTCGTTCCCCCCAACCCAGGCCCTCTGCCCCGAGATTAATGGAAGGGAAGCGACTCTCCAGGCTCAAACCACACAGCTACGACGTAGACTTCACGTCCTGATGCAACGTTTTGGACAGAGCCCATGGAACAGAGCCCGAGTGGGGATTCCAGAGACCGGACAGGCAAATGCGTGCCTCCCAGAGCCTCCCGCCCAGTCAGCGCCACACAGGAGGACCCGACCCCCGCACGCCAGCCGCCGGCGCTCCGTGGCGCTGGGACGGTGTCTTCCAGGAATCCCAGGCTCACCTACAGCGATGCCGGGGTCCGAGTTTGCCGTCTGAACCAGCTCCTTGCCCTGGTGACGAATGACCCAGTTGGGATCAATCTGGGTGGTTCCCTTGGGGTCCAGCGGTACCATCTGGAAGTTCCTGAAGTCCGTCTCGCTGATGGCGTTGTTCTCGGGACACACATCGTCAATGTCTGGGACGCTGTCGTTGTCAAAGTCGTCTTTGCATATGTCGCCCCGCCCATCACCTGTGCACAGGCACAGAGACAAGGAAGCAGAGTGGGCGTGCGGCCAGTGCCGCGCCTGCGCCCTGGGCCTGAGCACGCCCAGCTCAGGTGCTGTGAGGGCCCAAGATTCTTCCTTGGCCCTTGTCTTCACTGCCCATGTGGCCTCCCATGCAGCGTCTCTTCCCAGGGACACACGGACCACGTCCCTTTGGAGACCTCTGGTCCAGACCAGCGAGTGACCCGTGGCTCCTTCGCAGCCCCAGTCTTCGGTGGTGCCCAGGGTTCCACGGCAGAGCAAGAAGCGGGCCCTTGTGGGACCTCCCCGTCTCCCAGGCTCAGCAGCCCCTCCTCCAGCCCAGCCCTGCCCGGGGGACCCCGTGGGGCAGCAACGGCAGAGACCAGACTCCCCTGCCTCCTGCCTGGATGGCACTTTGGGTTCCCCGCACCGCTCAGGGCAGAGCTGGGGGCCCTCAGATCCCCTCGTCCCCTCTCTGAGGCCCTCGTCCCCAGCTGCAGAGGCCCTGCCCCCAGCCACTTCCTCCCAAGCCACGGGGTGCACAGCTGTCCATGGGCTCTGGTGGGAAAGACCTCAGGATCACTGCATTGAAGGACCATGTCCCACGGTGGCTACTGAGCCACGGTGCCCCACATGCAGTGGCTGCTGGGTACTGTGCTCCACATGTGTGGCTGCTGGGCCATGGTCCCCCCACATGTGTGGCTGCTGGGCCATCACCCCCCACATGAGGTGGCTGCTGGGCCACTGTCCCCCCACATGTGTGGCTGCTGGGCACTGTGCCCCACAGGAGGCGCTGAGCCCTGCTTCATCAGGGCTGAGGCTGGCCCTCTGGCTAGGAGGCTGTGGGCAGTTCTAAAGACCACACGGCTGCAGGGAGCCCCCCCACGCCAGCATCACAGACACACGTGAACACCTGTCACTCAGACGCACGCAGCAAGAAGCCAGACAGGCAGAAGAGAGCGCACCCGAGCTGCGGGGTTGCAGGAGCGACTGCATCTCCCCACGGGGGCCTGGGGGCTCCTGGCGTGGGGTCTGCCCTTGTGGGACCCACGCAGACCGCGGCAGCGCCTACCGTCCGAGTCCTCTTGGTCCGGGTTGAACAGCAGCCTACAGTTGTCCCTGTCGTCGGGGATCCCGTCGTTGTCGTCATCGGGGTCGCAGGCGTCACCCTTGCCGTCGTTGTCGTGGTCGGCCTGGTTGGCGTTGGCGACGTAGGGGCAGTTGTCCTGGTTGTTCTGGTGCCCGTCATCGTCTATGTCCTCGTTGTTGTCACACTGGTCTCCCACGAGGTCGTTGTCCACATCGGTCTGGGGGACAGAGCCGAGGGAAGCAGCGCCTGAGCACCGCCCTGGAGCCCGAGAGGCTCAGGGGACGCCTGGTCGCGGTCGTCCCCCATCTACACTGAGGAGCCGGGTGCACGGGGGCAGGGGCTCGCCGGGCCACTCCGCTCTCCACGCCAGCACTGGGAACCTGCGTGCAGAACCTGCGTCCCAGGCTGCCTGTGGGCGGCCTGACTGTGCTGAAGAAGCCGTGGGACAGTTGGCTGCCACGCACCACGGCTGTGCCACGCCGTGGGCTGCAACACAGGCGACTGCTCCCTTACTGGCGATGAAGCCAGTCCCTGGGGCTGTGTCAGATGGCGAGAACGACAGAGACAGTCTCACTGCAGCGGGAAGACGGCCCCCGCAGTTGGCCCTGCGGCACCAGGAGTCAAGAACTGTGCCCAGACTGGGTTCCGTGGCCTCTGCCAGTGAGGTCCCTGCACGCTCCGGTCGTCGTGGTCTGGAAGAGCACGTGGAACACTCCAGAAGCCATCGCTGTGCCTTGCCCAGGGCCTGGCGTCCCCTCCCCCTGGAGACACAGCGGGTACCTGGTCGGGGTTGTGCATCAGAGGGCAGTTGTCACAGTGGTCACCCACACCGTCGCCATCGGTGTCTCGCTGGTCGGTGTTGTAGACATAGGGACAGTTGTCACGCTCGTTGAAGACGTCTGAGGGTGCGCAAAGAAAGAAGCCAGATGAACGCTGGTTGCAGAGAGGCTCACTGCTTTTCTGTCCTGACCAGTGACACAGCCAAACTCCCCCACAGTAACCAAAACCCAAGGAGCCAGTCAGATGGAAAAGTCATCAGACCACAGACAAGCACGACGCGTTCCCCATTAAAACTCAAATCCCGGGGCGGGCCTGCGGCACAGTCGGCGAAGCTGCCGCACGCAGCGCTGCCAGCCCGTGCAGCAGAGCTGGTTCAGGTCCCTGCTGCTCTGCTTCCGGTCTGACTCCCCAGCAATGCACACGGGAAGGCATCAGAGGGGGTCCCAGTGCTTGGGCCCCCGCCACCCATGTGGGAGACCCAGATGGAATTCTGGGCTCTTGGCTTCAGGCTGGACCAGCCCTGGCCATTGTGGCCATCTGGAGTGTGAACCAGAGGATGAAAAATCTCTCTCCCACCCTGCCCCCTCTGCGGTGGTCTGCCTTGTAAAACAAATTGTTAGAAAGTTTGACTCCCTTACGCTAAAGCGGAAACAAGCCTGGGGGCTCTCTGGGTTACGCTGCAGAGTGAGAACAGGGGCTGCTCTCAAGGGTGTGCGACTCTACACGCTGCTCGGATGGATGCCTGGACATCCACTGTACCCTGAGCTCCTGGGAGCTGTGTTAGACACCATGGACGTCGGAGGGAGACAGTAATGGTGGAGACAGATGGGGTTTCAGATCCAGTAACTCAAGAAATTTGAAAAGCAGGAATCCCACTAACACTGGGGTCTCAACACAAAGTCCCAGTGAGCAGTGCACTCGCGCTGTCAGGGACAAGGAGGAGGCAAACACGAGAGCGGAGGGCTGAGGGCAGGGGGGCGGGCCCCAGGCTGGGACGCTCGTCCCACCCCAGGCAGGCCGCACAGGAGGGGCAGGGTGGGGAGGGCAAGGACCCTTAACACCTAAGGGCACCCAGACTTGAGAGCAGGCTCCGCCATCAGCAATGCCAGCCCCAGTCAGGACGGAGCTGCCTCCCGGATGCTGGAGGCCCTAAGAGGTGCCTGGTCCACAGCCGGACAGAGACCGCTACAGTGAGACAGTGCGCACTGAGACAAAGCAGCCCCACGGAGAGGGCTCGCCCGGCCCCCGACAGCCTGTGGGAGGGGCTCTCAGTGAGGATGAGTGAGAGAGGCAGGAGGAGCGACAAAGACCCTCGCCAGCCCCTTCTCAGACACAGGGTGGGATGAGTAGCAGGGCGGGGTTCTCGGAGCGTGCACGTCACTGAAGGCAGCATGAGGGCACACAGGCACTCAGACCACGAGGCTGGGGCCGGAGGAAGACGGCAGGGAGCTGGACAGCTCTCCCAGGGCAGTCCAAGGCTCCCGGGACAGCGCAGGGGCAGACAGCACATTCTGGGGGGCAGCTCACTCTCCCATTCGCAGACGGGCACTGCTGAGCCCATCCCACACACCTGCAGGCACTTCCAGCTGCGCCCCCCCACTCCCCCCCCCCTGGCACCGGCACAGCGACCGACCGTCTCCGTCGATGTCCACGGAGCAGGCGTCGCCCTCGCCGTTGTTGTCCGTGTCGATCTGCGCAGGGTTGTGCACGTACGGGCAGTTGTCACAGCGGTCCCCGACCTCGTCCTTGTCATAGTCAAACTGGCGGGGGTTGAACAAGAGCTGGCAGTTGTCCTAGAGAAACCGTGGGGACGAATTTCAGATCAAGACTTACAGGTTTGCCGGGCCGCTCAGAACGAGGCCTGGCGCTCACCACGAATGCTCCGAGCATGCAGAATAACCAAGGCAGACCTCGGGAGGGCAGCGGCCTGCAGCCCTGGCCACAGGCACTCTAAGCACCAAGCGCTCTGTCCTCACAGCCCCGAGGCTCCAGCAGCACCGCAGACAGGCGCACCGGGCAGGCCGCGGGGAGGGCAGAGCCGTGGGTGAGTGGGCGACCGAGCGCCTCCATCCAAGTCCCGCAAAGTGCACGCTGGGCCTCTCGTGCGCTCTTGTGGAATCTGGGCTTGCAGCAGCGTTCAAGGGCGAGGGGGTCACCACGGAGGTGGGAGAGGAGGGACAGTGAATTCCCAGTGACGAGACACTGAACACACGTGTGGCAGAGCACCCTGGGGCCCACGCTCGATCAGCCCGCCTCTCTGGGTGACGTGTGCAGGCCCTGTCCCAGGGCCCCCAGCACAGAGCGCGGCTGCCCCTTGGCCCTGGCCCGGGCATCGCGAGCTCACAGGACACTGGCCTCGCCCACCTTCTCGTCGCTCACTCCGTCATTGTCATCGTCGTCGTCACAGGCATCGCCCACTCCGTCCTTGTCAAAGTCCTCCTGCCCAGAATTGGGCAGGTGTGGGCAGTTGTCCTGCGAGAGAGGGAGAGGGTCACTGTGACGGCAGAAGGAACCCACTCTGAAGAGCACCTGCCCCAAGGAGCACAGGCAGAGCCACTCTGGCCCAGGGCTGGGCACACACGTCAGACACGTGTCCCCAAGGGGAGGCAGACCCTGAGAGGCTGAGCACACACACGTCAGACACGTGTCCCCAAGGGGAGGCAGACCTGAGAGGCTGAGCACACGCACATCAGACACGTGTCCCCAAGGGGAGGCAGACCCTGAGAGGCTGAGCACACACATGTCAGACACGTGTCCCCAAGGGGAGGCAGAACCATGAGAGGCTGAGCACACACGTCAGACATGTGTCCCCAAGGGGAGGCAGACCTGAGAGACTGAGCACACACACGTCAGACACGTGTCCCTGACGGAGGGCAGACCCTGAGAGGCTGAGCACCGCATGTCAGACACGTGTCCCTGATGGAGGGCAGAAGCACGAGAGGCCATGACTGCTCAGCCAGAGGCGTGCACTTTCCCCTCAGTCCTGGCCCAGATTAGGTCCTGCTGCTCTTGAGCCAGGAGCAAGGAAGCTGCTGGACCCGGATCCTGGGAAGCTGGCGCAGTGGGGCCGTGCGGGACAGTGAGAGCAGACCGGGAGCCTCCGGGCGCTGCCTCTCCCAGGCCTCAGCAGAGGCAGCCAGAGGCCCAGAGGGCAGCCTGAACCTGGCCCCAGGAGGGTTGTGAGGCCTGTCAAGGCAGGGGGCCTGCCATCTGCCAGGAACCTAAGGGCTGGAATCTCTGGGTCTCGCTGGAAGGAAGTCCCGCCCAGGACTGGGAAAGTCCCGCCCAGGACTGGGGAAGTCGCCGTGCTGCCATCCAGACACGCCGACTCTCCTGGGCAGAGCCGACCCAACAGCCCCAGGGAGCTGGGCACAGAGCACACGCGTTACGGAGTCCCCAGCGCGGCTCCTCCTGAGCCCCCCCGCCCCGAATCAGAATCACAGTGCCAGGGGGTGGACAAGCTGGTGCAGAAGGCTGCAGAGAGAGCAGAGGCAGGGGAGAGGGGGACAGGAGGGCAGGGGGACAGGGGGACAGGGGGAGAGGGGGACGGGGGACAGGAGGACAGGGCACAGGGGGAGAGAGGGACAGGAGGGTGGGGGACAGGGGACGGAAGGACAAGCAACAGGACAGGGGACAGGGGGAGAGGGGGACAGGAGGGCAGGAGGACAGGGGGACAGGGGGATGGGGGACAGGGGGAGGGGGGACAGGAGGACAGGAGGACAGGGCACAGGGGGAGAGGGGGACAGGAGGGCAGGAGGACGGGGACAGGGGGACACGGGGAGAGGGGGAGAGAAGGAGAGAGGGAAAGGGGACACGGGGAGAGGGGGACGGGGGACAGGAGGACAGGGGACATGGGACAAGAGGACAGGAAGATGGGGGAGGGGATGGGGGACAGGGGGACGGGGGACAGGAGGATGGGGGAGGGGACAGGGAGACAGGGGACGGGGGACAGGGGACAGGGGATGGGGGATAGGGGACAGGGGGACAGGAGGGCATGGGCTGCCTGGGACTTGCCTGCACCCAGGGGGGACAGGAGTGAGTGGGGGAGGGGCCCCTGTCCATCTCACTTCTAACCCTTTAAATCCTCTGTGTGCACAGGGACTGCAAAAGCATCATGGAAACAGGTGTTATGAGAAAACCATGCATGCGCTTCAAACGTTTTTTGCACCAAAACATTTTTTTATTCAATTTTTCCATGAGTGCTTTGAAGTCGCCTTGTGTACAGAGATGAAATCAGGGGATGACGATGTGGCATTTTTGAAGTTATTAAGTTCCTATCTGAAATCCCATGAAAATGAAAACGGAAATTGGGACACAGCAGCGCTGACTCACCCGCGAGCGGGGCGGGCCGGCGGCCGGGGAGGCCGTGGGCTGGAACCTCCGCCTCGCTTACTTGAATGCATGCTAATTTTCCTCACAGACAACATGTGCTGTCTTCAGTCAAGAGGCATTGAAAGCAGAAATTAACATTAACCCCGGGGGCCGGCGCTGCGGCGACCCCGCATCCGACAGGAGCAGCAGCTCCGGGCCTGGCTGCTCCACTTCCGATCCAGCTCCCTGCCAGCGCCCCCAGGAACGCCGCAGAAGCACACAGGAGACTCGGCTGGAACGCCAGGCCCCTGGCCCACCCCTGGCCCAGCCATTGCAGCCGTTCAGGGAGTGAACCAGCAGGTGGAAACTCGCTCGCTTGCTCACTCTCCCTCTCTCTCTCTCTCTCTCTGTCACTTTGCCTTTCAAATACCTCAGTCCTTTTTAAAACTAAACCTTTGGTAGTCAGAATTCGCAAGGATGAGTAAGAATGAAACAGGTGAAGTTACTAAGACACAGACCCGCACTGAACCTTCAGGTGGCTCCCGTGCAGCGGCTGAGTGACGGTGCCCAGATCATGTTCACACCCTGGCCAGACTGGCCGAGTGCAGGGTGTTCAAGGGAGGCCTCTCCCACAACCACAGGGGCCGTGTGCGAGGGCAGAGGGTGTGTGGAGACAGAACCCCACTGGGGGGATGGGGCGGAGGGAGGCAGATTGGAGGGACGCAGCCCGGGGGCAGGAGCCCAGCACCCCTGGAGCCCTGAGGAGGGGAAGAGGCTCCGGGGCATTCAGCCCTGCGGGTGCCCTGACCGTGCGCATCTGTCCCCGGGGACTCCGGGGGGACACGGCCCTGTTGTCCCCGTCCCTGGGCCACTGTTCACAGCTGCACAGCTGCAGGAAGCAGTTCCAAGGCCACTGTGGCAGACGCAGGCGCCGCCTAGGGCTTCCACACCCCGTAGGGACGGCCTGGGTGAGCGCCCCAGCCCCTGTGGCACACACGCTCCGGGGCAGGGGGCCGTGGCTCCAGCACGTGGGAGACCCGATGGAGTTCGTTATGGCCACGTAGGGAGTGACCTACCAGATACAGGGTCTCTCTGTCTACTCTCTCTCTTTCGAATAACGTGTTGAAGTCCATAGGAAAGTGGAACTAGAAGGTAAGCTTCTATTCGTGCGAGAAGCGATCACCGCGTAGCCTTCTCAGAACACACGTCTCTAGCACATTTTGAAGACCCTTCGTCTGTGTGAGTCAAGAAAGCTTTGCACCGGAAGTGACTTATTTTCACCTCCGTTTCTCGGGAGCCTTTGGAGGTCTCCGTGGACCCTGTGGCTCGCTGGATGCCTGACCCTGCCACACGGCTGGGCCCAGGGAGAAGGAATCAGCTAGGTGTTCGGAAGCCACCACGGACCGACCCAAGCCGCCTGTGACATCCCAGCCCCTGCACACCTGGGAGCCAAGGGTACAGCTGCCTCGAGCCACCGCCCGGCCTCCCCCCACCCATGCCAGGCCTCTCTGTGCCCCGTCAGTCACGGTGTATGGCTGCCTCCCAGCTCCCAGGAGCGAGCACACGGGAGGGCAGCTACTCTCTGACGAGGATCCCTGGGACTGAAGGAAGACCAGGGAGCAGTGCTCAGGCTGTGCGCAGCCCTGAGCCGCCTCACGCTCCTCCAGCCCCACGCATGCAGGCCAACCGTGTGGCTGCAGCATGTGACTCTCTCAAAACAGAAAACCCACGTGGCGCGCGGGAGGAGCGGCACTACCAGTCTTTTCTCACTACGTAGAGCAGCACGCCACGCCCCAGCTAGGCTGGCCACCCGTGGGCAAAGCCCCCAGCCACACCCCGCAGCCAGCGGGACCCCTCACCTTGAGGCAGTGGTAGGTGGCATTGGTGGCACAGACCAGGTTGCTGTTGGGCCAGCCGTCCAGGTCCGAGTCCTCGCCGCAGATGAGCCCGTCGCCGGCGTAGCCCGTCTGGCACTCACACTTGTACATGGGGTCACTGAAGTGGCCCAGGTAGATGCACTCCGCCTGCTTGTGGCAGCTGTGGGTCTTGTCCTTGCACGGGTTTTCTGGCTCGCATACCTAGGGGCGAAGGGCCGTGCGGTCACCAACACAGGGAGCCCAGGAAGGAGGCGCTGACAGCAGGCACCCCAGCGGCCCGGGGCTGCACACATCCTGCCCTGAGAGAGGCAGGGGTGACGGCAGCCACAGGCAAGAGCCAGGAAACGGGGCCGGCGCTGGGGCCTGATGGGTAAAGCAGCCGCCCACGGTGCCAGCTCCTGGCTGCTCCACTTCCCACCCAGCTCCTTGCCAACGGCCTCGGAAAGCCCTGGAAGATGGCCAAGTGCTTGGGTCCTGCACCCACCCCTCCAGCAGTGCTCAGGGGAGGGCGGCCCTGGCTACCTGCTTCTCGGCCCTGGCTGCCTCCAGGCCCACCCCGGAGGGCTGGCTCCCCTTGTAGCGCGGCGGGCAGGGCAGGCAGTGGAAGCCGGGCTGTGTGTTGATGCAGCGGGCCGTCTTGCTGGTCGAGAAGCAGACGTCTGTGACCACGGCACACTGCAGGGCAAGCAGAGGACACGGACGCGTGAACCCCGCTCCACTGGCTCCGGGGCGGCCCTGGCCGGGGGCTGGGGGAAACGCACCTCGTCCAGGTCCTCGCAGTAGGTGCCGTTGCCCAGGTAGCCCACGGGGCAGGCGCCGCAGGACCAGGACCCGTCAGGGAAGCTGCTACACTCGGCTCCGGGGAAGCAGGGGTTGGACAGACAGCCGTCTGCGGAGCAGAGCAAGCCCGGTGAGGCCGGCCTGAGCGACGCCCTGCCGCTCGCCGTCACTGGGGCACCTCGGGGACACCGCAGGGCACGCTCCGCTCACGGCACCCACACTGTGCCGTGTCTTTTCTGGAGGTCACGCACAGGTCCTCTGCCTTGCACACAGACCTGCTTTTCCCTGTCTTAGCTGTCCGTGCAGCGTCGCCCCTGCGCACCCCACGCCCCCGCGGACCCACCTACGGGGCAGCTCCTCTTGTTGCACATCTGGCGCTCCTTCACGTCCCCCACGCACGCCTTCCCGCCGTGCTGGGGCTCTGGGCTGTTGCAGACCCGTGTGCGCTCCCGGATTCCCCCGGCACAGGTGACGGTGCAGGCCGACCACGGGGACCAGGGACTCCAGCGGCCGTCGACTGCAGGCAGAGCCAGAGAGTGGGGCTCAGGGGTGGGTCTGGGCTCGAACCCCTCTGCACCGATGCTCACAGGGACGTGCAAGGTGAGGGAGACTCGGTTCCCCCACTCTGACGCAGCCAAGGAGACGAGGGTGCGGCCGGGCTGCTGAGCTCCTAGGAGCACAGAGTGGCGCCGACGTGCCCTGAGCATTCCTGAGCGCTCGTGTGTCCCGGTGACCTTGGACCCCAGAGGCCCAGAGCTGTACACGGGGCTGCCTGCGGGGACAGCCTCTCTCTGAATTGTATGGGAAAGTGACCTTCGCAGTGTGGGGTCAGTGCACTCGGGGCCAGGGAAGGCAGCTCAGCAGCGATGTCTGTGCCCCTGGGGAGCCAGAATCATGGCCGAGGGAGGTCCTAGCCCTCGGCTCCCCGCTGTGCTGCACAGACCCTGCGTTGAGGGGCCCGGAGCCAGCCCAGCTGCCACCCCCATGCTGTCTGTGCCCCAGGACCCGGTGTCACCCACTCACTCGGGCATGGGGCGCCCTCGCAGGCCTTGGTCTCGCGGCCGCTCCCTTTGCAGCTCTTGCCCCCCATCTGGGGCACCGGGGAGTTACAGAGACGGATGCGTGTGATGTTGCCGACTCCACAGGTCACGGAGCAAGAAGACCAGGGCGACCAGTGGCTCCAGCCGCCGTCCTGCCGGACTACAGCAGAAGCACAGAGATCAGAGTCCGCAGCTGTGCGGCCGGGGGACACACATCCTCGCACAGGGCCGCGGCCGCCGTCCCACACCCAGCGGCCCCAGCAATGCCTGGCCACCCCCCCACACGCATGCACACAAATGCACACACACACGAACACACATGCACGCATGAACACACATGCACACATGAACACACGCAATATGAACTGTGAACACACATGTACACACATGACCACAAGCACACACATGCACAAACACATGCGCATACACACACACATGCAGGCACCGCGCGGCCGGCACTCACCGCGGGCGTCACACTTGCTCAGGCTGCAGGCCCGCGTCTGGATGGACGGCCCCAAGCAGGTGTTGCTGGTGACGTCGCACGAGCGGCCCCTCTGCTGGGTCCCGGAGCCACAAGTGACCGAGCACTCCGTCCACTCTGCCCACGGGGACCAGCCCTCCTCGCCGTCTGCTGCTGGCAAAGGAGGCACACGTGATGGCATCAGGCACCCCCACCCACGGGTGCTTCAGAACACACCCGGGCCGCGTGGCAGGACCGCAACCACTCAGGAGCCTGGGCCGCCCCGGCGAGGAGCGGGACAACATGGCGGTCCCGGGTCCCGCAGGCCCGGCTCAGCGCTCTTCTGCTCTCAACATGGCCACACAACCCCCTTAGGTTACCACACGAGGGGCTCCCAAACCACACCCAATACATCGCATGAGAAAACCCATGTGGATTTCAAAACTTCCTTGCACCAAATAAACTTTGATTCCACTTTTCCCTGTGTGGCGTCTGTGCTGGGTGCTGGCATGCCCTGCGCACACCTGTGAGGCCCAGCCACACAGAGGGCACCGTGTCCCCCCATCAGGACTGACTCCGTGTGGGAGGGGCGCTCTTTCTGCATCTCACAGACACTGAACCTGAAACTCCGAACACTCACGTCTCGCTCAGAACCATGGAGGGGGCCGGGCCAGGGCTCCTGCCCAGCCCATTCTCTGTCCACACCCAGGGGCCAGGGCACAAGGAAGGCGCCCCCGGCCCAGGCCACCCTGCCAGGCCCAGCAAAGTCCGGGCCAGGCTGGAAATGGGAGGAGGAGGCTGAGAACACAGCTGACAGCGGCACAGGAGTGGCGGCCAGCCGTGGCACCAGCAGCTGCAAGGCTCCTACACCGGGGTGAGAGACGGGCAGTGTGGGAGCGAAGCCGGGCACCCAGCCCTGCTGGGACTGCGGGGTGGGGGGGAGCGGATGGCGCAGGGGTGGCCAGACTGCGTGGCTAGACGACGGTGACTTTGGAAGCTCCCAGCACAGAGGCCACATCAGCCCCATGTCACTGGCATGAGGGGAACCGCTGCAGCGGGGTCGGATGGGCTGGGCCAAGGCAGCAGAACGGAGGCCCACAAGGAAGCAGAGACCCCGAGGAAGGCCTGGGTGCCCGCTGCGCCATCTGCAGGACCCTAGGGATGCACCCTGTGACCCTGTGGGTCACAGCCCCCGAGACGTGCTTCCTGCCACCCCTGTGCACCCCTGTTTCCCAGAGTGGCCACTGGCCAGCTGCTGTGCTGTCCACTTTCTTGTCCAGGGGTACAAGTGACGCTCCCACAGGGACCCTGCTTGTCTGCCCACGGACTCAGGCCCAAGGTCTGCCCTGACTCAGGCCCGGGCTCACCCAGGGCCTCGCTCTGGGCTGGAGACGCGGGCTCTCCCCTCCCGAGGTGACCACTGGCCCAGCTTCCGCATCTGAGCCCAGACAGGGAAGGACCTGCAGCTCCCTCCCGCTCGCGGGTCTGCGGGCGATGACCAGGGTCCCGAGGCCCTGTCTCCTGTCTTCCTCCCAGCCTCAGCCTCATCCTTCTCTGCTGCAAGTGCACTAGTGAGTCCACCAACAGGTGAAGTCCGCGCGACCCAGGGCCGGCGGGCGGCACTCACCGTGGGAGCAGGAAGGGCAGCACTCGCCTTCCACAATGGACGGGTTGGCGCACGTGGCAGGTGAACAGGTGATCTGGTGGCAAACGGTTTTAAATTTCTGCAGGGGAAGAAAAGCACCCATGTAGCACCCAGTCATGCAGCAGGGACAGGCGCTGGCGCAATGACTCCGCACTGAGGGAACAGGGACAGCAGAAAGGCTACAGCCAGACCCAGACGCCTGAGCGTAGTCACTGCTCGCTCTCCCTGGTCTCAGAGCTGAGCACGAACAGGGCTCCAGGGTGCAGCTGGAATCCTGAGGTTGGACAGGAGAAACGACCGGAGGTGGACATCCGACACCGTCCCAGACACTGAGTCCCAGCCAGCAAGAGGGAGCTAGAGGTGCCACGTGTTTCCCTGTGTCCCTGCCAGGTCTCAAGGCTCCGTCTAAATGGAGCTCAGCCACACCTGAGCAAAACCTCCAGCTCCACCCAGCTGCCTCTGCCCACCCGGCCACGGCGGCCCCATCACTGACCACCTCCAGCCACACCTGTGGCTGCTGCGCTGCCGTGGCCCTGGCTCTCACACCTCCCATCGCCCACAAACACTGCCACGCCGGGCACCTGCGTGCTGCCACCTGGGCCTCACCTTGCAGGTGCAGGTGGTGCAGCTGTCCACCACCCAGGTTTCGTTCTCGGCAAACATCCGGTCCTCCTGCCAGCAACCGGACACATTCCTCGTCTTCGGGGGAACCCCGATGAGCTCCAGCAGAAACTGGTTATCGCTGGACTGGAAAATCAAGCAGCCCCGTAAGTACGGGAGAGGGTTCAGCACTTGCAGTGCTCACTCCCCCGACCAACGAGGGGCCGAATCGGACAGCAGAGACCCCTGTGTGCCCTTCCTCTCTGCTTCGGGATGGTGGAGAACCGCTGGGTGTGTGCAGCTCGATCCACGGCCACAGTCCACACACTGACCACGAGTCTCTGCTCGCTCGCCAGCTGCTGGTGACGCAGACCCTAAGCGCCTGTGCCACAGCCCAACCCTGAGGCCACTGGGCCCCCAGGACGAAGTCGAGGCCGCTTGTGCTGGACAGTGGTGGGAAGGCGGGTGTGGGTGGCAGGCCACCGTCTACGGCAGCCAAGAACAAAGGGCAACGCGTGAACTCATCACCCACTCACTGCCTGTGACAGGCACTGGTCCGAGCATCCAACGGCCACGACAAAGGCAGGCACAATTATTGCTGTCTGGGGGTTGTACGTTGGAGGAAAAAGACACAAAGGTTTAACAAAAAGACATAAATAAAAAGTGCACCCAATGTCCTGCGTGTGTGCGTGTGTGCGTGTGTGTGTGTGTTGCCTGCCCTGTTCTATGATCTTCCCGGAGTGGCCTTCTCCCCAGGGGCTACTGCTAACTAGGACCTCTTAGGCACCTGCCAGACAAGGCTGACCCCCTGGTGCACAGAGCGAAGCACACAGCCCGATGCTTGCGCGCCAGCCCATGTCCTGCGCTTGGACTCCACGCTGCCTGGCCCCGTCTGAGAGCTGCGCTCAGGGTAGGAACCGTCCAGTTGTACCTGAGCTCCTCCCGAGCCGCCCAGGCCGAGGCTCCGCATCTCCTGACAGGTGGGACCAGCCCTGGCCTGCCCGGGGGAGACAGCTCACAGGGGAGAGTCTGTCCCAAAAGTGGCTCACCCAGGAGTGCGGCGACAGACCCCAGTGTGGGTGGCTCCTCCCCAAGGTGCCCTACAGGAAGTCAGAGGACAGCAGCCTGGCTTCCATCCATGCCATCGAGGGGGAGCAGCCCACTACCCCATCCGTGAGTGTCTGGAGACAGCGCCATGGGGTAGCGGGCACCTGGGGGCCTGCCCCCTCTACCTCCAAAGGGAAGGAGACTGTATCACCCCCCTCACATCTGGACCAGGATCAGATGAGGCTGAGGGCCCCCTTCAACGTGGCCACGGAAGCAGGGGCCCCCACCCTCCCAGCACCCCTCTCTCTCTAACAACGGCTCTCTCTGCAGCAGCCTGCAGGAAGCGGACCACGGAGTCTGAACCTTCGCCCCGCCCTCCCCCGCCTGGCACCCTCCAGGCACGAGGTCCACTCACTTCTCACCGTGCCTCAGCTCAGCCAGTGGACGCGGCGGGCAGCCCGGGAGAGACCCTCCTCCCTCGCGGTTCCCTTCGCTAAGCTTTAAGGGCGGCTCCAAGGCGCCTTAGCACCTCTGAGCCTGCTGAGAAGACGTGAACCCCCGATCCCTCGTCTTCGAAGACCGGCTGTTCTCCACCTGTGCGGCACTCGGCCCCAGAAGCACCTCCCTCTGGGGTCTGTCGCCGGCACTCCTGGGTGAGCCACTTTTGGGACAGACTCTCCCCTGTGAGCTGTCTCTCCCTCTGCAGGTACTGCAGTTCCCTGGGGAGACAACGCGCCCAAAACTAGGGGTGCATTTGGCAGAACGCAAACCCCATGACTGTCTTTACGCAAAATACGCCCCGATGTCCATCCAGCCTCCCTCCAACAAAACTACACATCAGTCAAACGTCCGGGGGGAGCCTGCCACCGACTCCGCCTGCTACCGCTGGATTTAAGTGGAGTTCACGTATTCCCACCAGTGTCCGGGCGTCCAAAGGCCCAGCCCCCGGCGGGGAGGAGGCCACCTCCACCCCCGGCACCCACCACTCTCCTCAGGTTCTCGCTGAGCTGGTCCACGAGGAGGTGCAGCCCGGAGAGCTCGCTGATCATGTTGCCCAGCTCGGCGCAGGAGTGCTCGCACACCTCCGGCTGCGGCTGCAGGCTCTGGCCCGTGTGCTCCGCGCTGAGGTGAGGGCTCAGGTGCAGCGTCTCCGTGTACTCGCTGATGGCATTGATTTCAGCTGAAGGGAGGCACAGTGGGCACGGTGAGGGCGAGGCTGCCGTGCCATCGGGACCACGCCCCAGTGAGCCGTGAGCCGGGCCTGGGCGTGAGGCTGGAGCCCCGGGGGGCCGCAGGGGCTTGGTGTAGTTACAGCGGGGACGGCAGAGCTGGCGACAGCCGCCGCCAACTAGCAGCCCCCCTGAAATGCAGATGCCACTTCGCTCCACAGCTAAGTCTTCAGCATCCGCAAACAGCCCACGGGCAGGCCAGGGGGTTACCTTGGCGACAAAACCAAAGCCAAGTGCGCGGAGACCTGGGCCCTCGCGGCGCTGCAGCCGGGCCTCTCCTCTTGCCTCGGACTCGGACTGCACGGCGGCAAGAACCCCCGCAGTCCTGGCCCTGCCCGACCTCAGCCTCCCCCCGAGCCCACCCTGCAACCACGCAGCCCTATCTATGCTGCTGGCTCTTCACGTATCCCTTTCTTGGACTCATAAGCACCGTCTTTTGTGGCTTCTTGTTCTGGATTACAGCAGCTGGCCTTGTGCCTAAAGTAACAAATAATTCCCGAGAGAGGCCACAGCCCTGCCTGGTGTTGGCCTCTGAGGGCCTCAGCCTTCTACTGGCCTGCAAATGCTGGAGACTGCCGAAGCCCGGGCTCACAGGCCGTGGTGCACAACGCAGTGGGTGTGGCAAGGACCCGCACATGGATCTGGGGCAGAGGTCGGTCTCAGAGCCCGGCCTCCCCGACACAGTGCGTGCCAAGAGCTGCAGACCACACATCCAGGTCCCAGGTTCCCTGAGGGAAATCGTGGTCCACAGAGACCCCGCAGTCCCCTGTGCTCCAAACGGCCAACCCCTAGCTGACCCTCTGTGTAGAGAAACGCATGTAAATCCACCCCACCCATGCAGGGAGAACAGACTTCCACACCTGCTGGTGAGCCCCCGTGCGTACACACCTGTATGTAAATCCACCACTACTTGCTATCTTGACAGAACACACTCAGATTTCTATGGAAGTCGGTTTCTTAAGTGATTTTTTCTAAGAAGGACTAAGAGCTTCCAAGAATTTTTCAATGTTTGGGTCTAATGGCTCCAGAGTTTATTACCTGCACCATTTCCTGGGAGAAGCCGCACTTGCTGGGACGGTTGCGCCTTGGGTTTGCCCCGCCCACCTGTGTGGCACACAGCAGGCAGGAGGGGCTCTGATCTGAGCCGTAGCCACTGTGGCCCAGAGGAGTTGAGAACTGAGGGTGTGCGTGATATGAGACATGAAAATGTCTCTCCGTGCTCCACGGCCCACCCCAAACCATGGTTCTCATTCCCTGTCCTGCTCTGTGCTTCAGTGGGCCCACAGCAGGATGGTGGGCCCCGCAGTCCAGAGCCTCCTGCCAGAGTCAGGGTCAGGGCGGCAAGAACACTACTCAGCTTCCCGCTCACAGGGTGCTGGGACTGGGGGCTGCGGGCCAGGCAGCTGGGTGCCAGGACCGGGGGCCGCGGGCCAGGCCGCTGGGTGCTGGACTGGGGGCTGCGGGCCAGGCCGCTGGGTGCTGGGACCGGGGGCTGCGGGCCAGGCCGCTGGGTGCCGAGACTGGGAGCTGCGGGCCAGGCCGCTGGGCGCTGGGACTGGTGGCTGCAGGCCAGGCCACTGGGTGCTGGACTGGGGGCTGCGGGCCAGGCTGCTGGGCGCTGGACTGGGGGCTGCGGGCCAGGTTACAGAGCCCAGGTCAGGGGCAGAGCAGCTGGCCTCCCTGCAGCAGACAGCAAGTCTTGCACGTTCCCAGCACGTTGATACATAAAGAGCTTGTTTGTCATGATTTAGAACTGAAGTGAGGACTTGGCCTTAGTGGAAGAAAAACCAGTCACATGTGAGCCACGCGGCAGGTCAAGACCGTGCCTTAGAGACACTCAGACCAGGCTGCGTGGCCTGCGTGTGCTCCCCGGGGGACGAACGTCCGCCCCTCAGCCTCAGACGCCTGATAGAGGGCGGTGCCCATCGAACCTTCAGTGAAATCTGCATCCGAGGGCCTGGCAGGGTGACCTTCACAAATCAGTGTTTGAGATAACGCTGGCAAACTTGGGTGAAAGTAGCAGCAGTTCAACTTCTAACCAACAGTGTCAACTGTACAGTGGTGGGTTTTATATCACGACTTTGTCAACAACTGGGCATAGTGTAAACACCTGCGGTGACCTCCCATGAACACCCAGGATATTACCACCCACGGACAGTCTTCACGCACCCCTGTACTAAAATAATAGTAAAATGCCAGCCACTTAAGCTGGTGGTTTGGGAAATGGATTTTGTGATTATTAAAATCTATTCAAGATCAATCCTTCCTTCAATAATTATTCATTTTTAGGTGTTAACATGGCTACGTTGACCAGTTAACTCTCCAAGACAATACTGAGACTTCATTCAAATATTTTACTTAAATCCCCACTAGCACACACACACACAGATACACACACCCACACACACAGGCTTGCCGCCATGAGTGCGCACTCCCCCAGCACACACACACCCCCAGTGCACGCACATGGCAGTGGGCACCCATCCAGCCAGAGGACGGAAGGCTCGGCCAGGCACCTACCTCCGCGGCCGTGCTGGCAGCCCTTCTTGCTCAGAACATCTTCCACAGAATTCTCAAAAACCAAGTGCATGTTCTGAAGCAGGCCCTGTGAACACAGACAACGAGAGAAATGAGGCAGCAGGCAGACGGCACACGCTTGCGGTAAGCTGAGCGACAGCTGGACAACAGGACATAGACTCTTCAAGTGGCCACCGCTTTCCTCCGATGCGCAGCTGGCAGGTCTTCATGAGTTTTCCAGGCCACACGGCTGCTAAGGCCTTGCTTTCGGGCCTGTCTTGAGAACGGGGTTTAACACGAGAAGTCACCAGTAGGAGCAGACAGTGCTACGTGGAGAGGGTGAGCGTGGCCCCAGGAGCCAGGTGGTGCGTTCTGTCTTCTGAGGCACTCCTGCTCAGGGGCTCTCGGTGGCTGGCGGTCCTGCATCCGGCTAAAGGACCCATCAGAGACACGGGCTCCCGTCTCTCCGAGCACCTGCCGTTCCACAGTGCTCGGCACTCTACGGTGGAGTCCTGACAACAGGGGTGTGTGTGTGTGCGTGTGTGTGTGTGTAACAAGGATGTAACAAGGTGTGTGTGTGAATGTGTGTGTGTAACAAGTGTGTGTGCTAGTGACCACCTCTGTGCAGACACTGAACATGCAGATTTCCTTGAGAGCTTACTAAAATATTCCAGAATAAATATGACTTATTTCCTGTGATTTCCTAACATAAAAATATAAATTAATTCAAGAAGCCATCGTACATCTTGAGGCCTTTTATGCAGATAACTGAATTTACGCGCACATTACTTTCCACGAATACCCGCACATTTGAAAGAGCAGCGTTGAGCTCCCTGCCTCCTCGTGAGGTGGACCCAGGTTGAGAACGCGCTCAGTTGAAAATGCGTTCAGTCCACCTGCCCCCCAGACGTCGCTGCTCGGCCACAGCCGCCTCCGAGCGCCCGTTGCCCTTGGGACCCCAGGGCTGACGGAGCTGTGCTCACTGCTGCTGGCCAGCAGCACGAGAGGATCAGAGCCCGCAGCACCAGCCTGGGAAAGATCCAAATCTGCAATGGTTTTTACTGAATGCGTCCGCACCATCAGGAAATGGGAAAATGGCGCACTGGGCCATTGGGTCAGGGGGAGTCCGGGCCACAAGCCAGACTCGGACGCTCCTTCTCTAAACACTGCCACTCCGACGGACAGGAACCTGCTCTCCCCTGGGCCTGGCAGTGTGGCGCGGTGGGTTGGGCTGCCACTTGCAACACTGGCATCCCCTATCCAAGAGCCGGCTCCGGTCCCAGCTGCTCTGATCCCAACCCCGCTCCCAGCCAACGTGCCTGGGAAGCACTGGGGCCCCTGCCACCTCTGTGGGAGAGCTGGAGGGAATTCCTGGCTCCTGGTTCCTGGCTCCAGCCCGGCCCAGCCCCAACAGTCGCTGCCAGTTGGGTGGTGAACCAGCAGACGGAAGCTATCTCCCTCGCCCCCCTCCCTCTGCCTTTCACGAAAATAAATAAATCTTTTTGAAAAAGTTCTTTCCTTAGAAAAGGTCATTTGCTCTCCTGTCATCACACTGGTAACGCAAGATTCAGGAAAAGTTTCGTCTATAATACAGAAAGAGGGCCAGCGCTTTGGCACATCCTCTCGGGTAAACCATCTGCGATGCCGGCATCCCACGTGAGTGCCAGTTAACATCCAGGCTGCTCCAGTCCAGTCCAGCTCCCTGCTGTGGCCTGAGAAAGCAGCTGAAGATGGCCCGAGTGCTTGGCCCCCTGCCACGTACGTGGGAAACCCAGAGGAAGCTCTTGGCTCCTGGCCCAGCCCTGACCAGTGGCCGGTTGGGGAGCAAACCATCAGATGGAAGATCTCTCTCTCTCTCTCTCTCTAACTTTCAAATAAATAAATCTTTAAAAAATTATGTAATTAAAAAAATGAGTCTGCATGGCCAGAAACATTTGAATGGTCCAGGCCTGTGATCAGACACGGGCCCCAGTCCCCCTCAGCGGCCGTTAGCTGGGAGGCGAGCAGACCCGTGGCAGCTCATGCCGCTAATCATGGATGTGAAAGGGGTGAGTGTCATGTGTGCACATGCGTGGTGTCTGCATGTGCATGTGGGGGTTTGACTGTATCGTGTGTATCTTTGTGTGCACGGGTGCCCATGAGTACATGTGTAGTGTTTGTGTGTGTGCATGTGTGAGGGTGTGACTGTGCATGCGTAGTTCTGTGTGTGTGTGTATAATGTTTGCGGAGGTGTGTGAGTGTGTATGTGTGGTGTTCATGTGAGTGCATCTGGTGGTGTTTTGTGCACATCTGGATGTCACTGTGTGACTATACTTGTGTGGTATGCTGTGTGTGCAAGCGTGTGTTCATGTGGTGTGTGTCATGTGCCATGTGCATGTACACACGTGTGACTATTCCTGTGGTGTGTGCACATGCATGTGTGAAGGTATGGTGAACACACGTGTGCAGTTTGTGCACGTGTGTGGCTGTTCACATGGTAGTGTGCACACGCGTGTGAGTACTGGCCAGGCCCCTGCTCCAATGCAGCGAGCACGTTCAGAGATCCACTGGTCTGTCGGTCTGCACTGTTCTCGGGTCACTGCGGAGGCCAGCCCGCATGCATCCCGGAACCGGCTCCCCCAGGCCCACGTACGCACCCTGAGGTGGCCCCCTGACCCACAGACCCACGTACACACCCTGAGGTGGCCCCTGCGAGACCCACTCACCCTCCCTGTGGCGACTCTCTGCACCCTGAAGTGATTCCCCGCACCCATTCCCGCACCCTGAGGCAACCCCCCACCCACGCCCCAGCCTGAGGTGACCCCCCTAACCACACCCCACCCTGAGGCAACCCCCCCACCCACGCCCCACCCTGAGGCGACCCCCCTACCCACGCCTGCACCTGCACCCTGAGGCGACCCCCCCACGCCCACACCCTGAGGCAACCCCCCCACCCACGCCCCACCCTGAGGCGACCCCCCACTCATGAACCCCCCCTGAAATGACTCCCCCACCCACGCCCCGCCCTGGGCGAGCCCCCACTCATGAACCCCCCCTGAAATGACCCCCCTACCTACGCCTGCACCCTGAGGTGACCCCCCCACCCATGAACCCACCCTGAGGCGACCACCCCACCCATGCCTGCACCCTGAGGCAACCCCCCACCCACGCCCCAGCCTGAGGTGACCCCCCTACCCACGCCTGCACCCTGAGGCGACCCCCCTAACCATACCCCACCCTGAGGCGACCCCCCCACCCACGCCCCACCCTGAGGCAACCCCCCCACCCACGCCCCACCCTGAGGCGACCCCCCACTCATGAACCCCCCCTGAAGTGACCCCCCACCCACGCCCCGCCCTGGGCGAGCCCGCACGCACCCGGAAGTGGCTCTCGCGGGCGGCGCCCTTGGCCACGTACATCCTGCTCCGGTCGGCCGTCAGCTGCTCGTAGAAGGGCTCGTCCAGCGCGAAGCTGTCGATGAGGTCGCAGCCCACGTAGAGGCCGAAGGTCTCGCCGGCCACCTGCACCGTGATGTTCTTCCACTGCGAGTCGGCCAGGCCCACGTCCTCCAGGGACAGCACGTGCTGGCCGCCGTCCGTCCAGTAGGTGAGGTCCAGCGTGTCGGCCGGGCCGTTGGAGACGACCTCGAACTGCCGGGCGGCGCCGGGGCCCTCGAGGGCCAGCAGCGTGCCGCGGGACTTGCGGTCCTGCTTGAGCTGCGCCGTCAGGAAGAAGCCGTCGCGGCGCCGCATGCTGCGCGTGATGCGGAGCAGGTCCGCCGCGTTCACGGGCGGGATGTAGTCAAAGCGCACGAAGCGGTAGGCGGGCGCGCCCGGCTCGGGCCCCCGGAACTGCTTGGCGCCGATGGTCTTCCGGTTTATGTTGCTGATGCTGAAGAGGTCGAAGGAGGTGTCCTCGTCCGGGTCCGCGGCTGCAGAGGGACCCCAGGCGGGGCAGGGTCACCGAGGAGCGCGGGCGGGGCCGGGCCTCCCAGGACGGTGCACAGTGGCCCGGAGGCTGTGGCCACCCCGGGTGCACTGCCCGCCCCCAGGGCCGCGACCCCGTGTGGGCCCCGGACAGCTGTGGTCCAGCAGGGTCAGTGTCCTCTGTGGGTGCTGGGACCCAGCCCACTGCCTGTGCCCAGGGCCGACTTCCTGCGTGAAGTCAGACCGAGCCATGCCCTTCCACCCTCGGTCTGCGTCGTGCCCGACCCCAGAGCCAGGAGCCGCCCGGCCTCCCTGGACTCAGCCCTGCCCCTGACGAGCTGGGCCTTGTGGAGACTTTCCACGTCACACACCGTGTTAGCCCTTGTCCTTAGTGACATGCCCCCCCTCCGCCCTGCACAGCAGGGGCAGGGGGGGTCTCAGGCAGGGTCGGTCCCAAGCCTGTCCACGTCACACACCATGTTAGGCCTTGTTAGTGACATGCCCCCCCCAGCCCTGCACAGCGGGGAGAGGGGGGTCTCAGGCAGGGTCGTCCCAAGCCTGTTCACGTCACACACCGTGTTAGCCCTTGTCCTTAGTGACATGCCCCCCCCCGCCCTGCACAGCGGGAGGGGTCTCAGGCAGGGTCGTCCCGAGCCTGTCCACGTCACACACCGTGTTAGCCCTTGTCCTTAGTGGCATGCCCCCACCCCGCCCTGCACAGCGGGGAGAGGGGGGTCTCAGGCAGGGTCGGTCCTGAGCCTGAGAGGGTCGCCGTCGCCGTCTGAATCACTGGCAGAAGAACTACCAGACCTCGGCGAGCACAAAACCTTAACAATTAAAACGGTGCACTGGGCAGAACACGTGAGCAGAATACGAGTCTTCCTCCAGCACTCGGCAAGTGGAAACATTAGAGTGCGCGCGGTGCGGACCGATGACGTGTGACTTGTACCTCGACTGAGATTATTTGTCAGAAATTAAAATAATTGGTTAAAAACTTTGACTCACAAACTCTATTTTTGTAACTCATCCAAGGTTGTAGTCACAAATGTTGGAAAGATTTATTTACGGTGTTAGTCCTTCTGCTATCATTTATAAATGCAATGAAAATAAACAACCAACGGCGATTTTACTAAACACAGAGGGTGTGTCTGTGACGGAATACTACACAGGCATGAAAAATCAAGTGGGAAGGAAATAAGCGCATGGAGAATATTCAAGCTGAGTATGAAGTAGGAAGAAGGCAGGGCAGGCAGGCGGCGCAGAACCCGAACGGCGCAGAACCCCGAACAGCGCAGTGCTGCGGCGTGCCCGCGGGGAGAAGGCAGGGCAGGCAGACGGCGCAGAACCCGAACAGCGCAGAACCCCGAACAGCGCAGTGCTGCAGTGTGGCCACGGGGAGAAGGCAGGGCAGGCAGACGGCGCAGAACCCCGAACAGCGCAGAACCCGAACAGCGCAGTGCTGCAGTGTGGCCACGGGGAGAAGGCAGGGCAGGCAGAGGGCGTGGAACCCGAACGGCGCAGAACCCCAAACGGCGCAGTGCTGCGGTGTGGCCGTGGGGAGAAGGCAGAGCAGGCAGACGGCGCAGAACCCCGAACGGCGCAGTGCTGCGGCGTGCCCGCGGGGAGAAGGCCGAAGTGCCTCTGCAGGCAGCCGGGCCCTTTTCCTAATGCCTGGCTTTCCCTGAATTGAATCATTCCTGAGTATCTGCAGCCTGTGTGCAGATTTTACTCGGAGTTCGGCAGATTCCAACACAGAGCTGGCTCCGTGGTCTGCCCTGGGCTCAGCCACCTCCCTTTGCACGTGAGCCCGGGCCCTGCGCACTCACCTCGGACGTCCTGGGCACCCTGCCATGCCCACAGAGCCAGCAGGGCCAGCCCCCAGAGCATGCTGCGTCCGCGGCGCGGCTCCTAGGAATGAACAGACACGGCGGTTACGGATCCTCGCCGCTCTGAGCATCCATTCGGGCGCTCACGCACGTGGACGCTTGGAGACAGCTGCACGTGGAGATCGGAGACGGATCTGCGAGAGGCTAAAAGCTAGGTGAGCATGTTGCTTTTCAGACAGGCTTCTTGCCCCTGCAGCTGGTACGCACTGGGCAAACGCTGCACTGACCACGTTACAGGTGTCCATACCATCTCGTCCTCAGAAGGTCCTAGGTGGTAGTGCCCACCGTCACTGTGCCCATCTGACAGACGCGAGGCGGGCGGAGCAGAGTGCTTGTCCAGAGGCACTCTGCTCACAGGCAGGCAGCCAGCACTTAGACCAGGAAGCCATCCAGCCCGAGACAGCGACGCAGGCAGGCAGATTGTGCGAGGACCTGGGGAGAAGCGGTGCTGCCCGAACCGTCCTACAGAAGGGCTCTCCTGCGCACAGACGGGCCGGCGCCGCCCTCCCACAGGCAGATGCCCGCACAGCAGCCCTGCCCGCTCTGTCCCGGCCGCAGGCCTGTTTCCCTTCGAGGGGCTCATGCTGGCTCAGCAGCCCTGGACAGAAGCCCGGCCGCGATGAACTGTCCTGGACACAGGCAGCCCCCACCTCCTGAGCCAGCGCGGGGCTGACGGCTCCCGCCGGCGCCTCAGCCGCTCTGGGTGGGAGCTGGCCCTGAGACCCGCCCTCCCTCCTCCTCTGCTCCACAGCTTCTTGTTGTCAAAGGACTCCTAGGAGTCTCCCGCCAAGCGAAACCGCCACCTTCCAGGACGGGGAGACGCTCCCAGAGGAGGGGTGTGGGGCAGACCCTGGGCTCCCTCTGGAAGCCGGAGCCCTGCCCACCGTGCCCCCCACCGGCTCCTGTACGGGTGTGTTCCCGGATGACCCGGCGGGAGGCAGCGTGGTGGGCCTCCGCCTTGGCACACAGCCCTACCCCTGCCAACGTAACCGCCCTGCCTCGGCGTTCGCATCTGTAGAGTGGGAAGCATGTCCACTGGTCGGCTGCTCTGAGAAACAAGCGGAGCCCGCGCCTGCCCGTGAAGTGCAGCAGGAAGCACTGTGTGCACGCCTCGGTCACTCGGAGGCGACCGGGGCGATGACACGGACGCTGGCACGCAGCCTTCGAGGTGTTTTTCAGAGGGTTACATGGCAGGAGCCGGCCCCAGGCGTGCATGAGAGCAGCACCCACAGTGGCTCCCGGATCGCAGCCCGTGTGCACAGCATCCGCAAGGCCCCACCCCCCCACCCCGCCCCGTGACTTCGCCACGCTCCAGAGGGAGCCTCCTAAGCCGTGTCCTATCACAAGCGAGTTCACGGCCCCGGACGCCGGCTGCTCACTGTCGCCAGGATCCAGCGCGCCTCTGATAATGGCAGGACGGCCGCAAGGACCAGCGCCAGCCATCAGCCGGCTAGTGCAGGGCCCTGCCCTCCGCCAGGGCTGCGCCTCCGGAATGGAGACCACGGACGGGGAAGAGCCAGCCCCACCAGGACGCCTCGTGGCAGCCATGGCCACCAGACAATGGAATCAGCCCAGTTCCGTGGCTGCACGGGCTTCCACACGCTCGTGGTCTGTGTTTAGGATTACACTGTTCCCACAGATCCCCGGGCGCAGGGCGATCCAGGGCTTCCGTCACGGGGGCCATCACAGTGGCAAGTGGCTATGCCCAGACCTCTCCATCCGCCTCTGTGCCGCTGGGGCACTCAGTGTCCCGTGAACGGGGCCGTTTCTGGGGACTGGGCACTGCCCCTCAGTGGCATCCAGACCAATGCCAGCTCCCTTTTCATATGCAGATCACCCCCAACACTTCAAGAACAACGGGATTCCCTGGCAGTCGGAGCCCTTCTCTCAGCACCAGTCAGCCCGACACCTTCAGAGGCGCGTCCCGGGCTGTTCCTGTTGTGGAGACTTGGGCTCCCGGTCACCTGACTGCCGCCTGCCCTCCAGCCCTGTCCCGGGGCCTCCTCAACAGCAGAAGTCAGCCAGGAGACTTTCTGGTGGGAGCTGGAAGCACAGCAGTTGTCAGGTTCCTGGCAGGCACGCGCACCACCGCCACAGAGCGGTCCGAGCGGGCAAGCGCCAACGGTGGGGGCGGCAGGACCCTGCGGACGGTGCCGAGATGGGCGCTTGGCCGGCTGCTCCGGTTAGGAGGGAAAACACCACGTGAGGAAGCATTGGCAGCCCAGGTTAGCAGAATCCCGCCCCGCCACAGCGTGGGTGGAGGGTGCAGGTCCCCTTCTCTCTCAGGGGTCCCGAGCCTGTTCTGGAAAGCACGGGGCAATGAAATGACCGGGCGAAGTCTAGGAAGTCCTACCTGGTGCGTTGGAAGATGGGAGGACTGGCGTCTGCTGCAAGGCGAGCTGGGCAGCGTGCGGCTGAGCTGGGGAGGAGGCGGTCCCGGTGCACTGCGGACGGTGCCTCCCTCTGCCTTCCCGGCAGCAGCGGCCCCTTATATACTCCTCTCCCCCGGCAGCGCTGTCAGTCACAGGGCGAGGAAGGCGGCTAATTCATTCCTTCGAAGGCATGACCTAATTCCTCCTGCTGGTCTCACCATTCGCTCAGAGTACCTGGTGCCGGAGTCCAAGCCCAGCCCCTCGGGCGCTGGCCCCGCCCCCTGCTCTGCCAGACTGGCGGGAGGAGCCAGACGAGGGAGGGGAGGCAGAGGCGCACTTTTCCTGTCAGGAAATAAAGCGCTATAAATAAAACGAGTGAGATTGGCTGGAATTCCCATTGTGCTTAAGAGAAAAATGCAAGTTCTGCGCTTCCAATGTGTTTCGAATCACCCGAGGGACACTGGTCCTTCCAAACCACGTGCGCGAGACTCAGTAAGACACGGAGGGCATCGGTGGGTCTGAGTGCTGCGCTGTTAGCTACGCATTGACGGAGTTCTTATGCTGCAGGAACTAACTGTATCGCGTGCAAAAAAAGAAAGAAAAACTTTCATCCCAGAGGAAGCTGACAGAGTTTATTTCAGGCAGCAGAAGATGGACAAACAGGATGGCCGCTTTGGGGGACTTGATTTTAACCCAAAACTTACTTCATCCCGAGCCGAATCCCACAGGCTGACGCCTCCCTGTGGGTTTCCCTCACTTGGCCAAGTCCTCTTGGCGCAGGGAACCCCGTAATCAGATTCTGGACGTCTCGCTCAATGGGTGGGTCGTGCAGAACACTGGCACGAGGAGGAGACAGTGGCAGGGAGGGCCAGCCTCCCTGTCACTCCCCACAGCTCACAGCAGCCAGGCCAGGTAGCCCAGCAGGGAGCAGGGCGCCCCCGGGGCACAGTGGGCAGAAGGGGGCGGCCTGGGCCCTGACCCCACAAGCCAGTATCAAGCTGTGGCCTGGGCACTTCTGCATCTCCGTCACTCACGTGACACGTGTTCGCTGAGCACAGCCGTGACCACCAAGCCTTCCGTGGGCACGCGGGCTGACGGAGGCCGTGAATCGGGAACCTGTGAGCTCAGAGGGCCCTGGCCAGGGGTCACAGGCAGGGTCATGGGGCGCGGGGAGGAGACTTCTTCCATGAGGTCCTCCAGTCGGCAGTCAGGACGGCTTCTGGGAGGAGACAGGCGAGCGCCTGGCACACGGACCTGGCGCGTCCTGGCTGGAGGAGACAGGCGAGCACCTGGCACACGGACCTGGTGCGTCCTGGCTGGAGGACGTGTCCCCGGCAGACCCCAGGAAGGAGAGCTGTGCAGGAGCCGGGGCGTGCCCAGAGAGAGGTGCGGGTCTCGAGTTCTGCGGGGCCGGCCCAGCCTGCTGAGGACCAATTCCTCAGGGCTGCAGAGTCCCAGAGGAGCTCCCGGCAGGTGAGCAGGCAGTGGGGGCCGCTGGCCAGCTTACCCCAGGCGCTAGGACAAAGGCTGCGGACAGGACAAGGCAGGGCAGCAGGATCCCCCCCGGGGGGTGGGGGCAGCAGCACAGCCACGGGAGGAGAGGGAAGGGGGCGCCTCCCCGGCCGACTGCGCTCCCTGGACACGGGGTTTCTGTGGGCCAGGGTCTCGCGGGAGTAGGGTGGGCCCCAGATCCAAGGGCAGCGGGAACTCCGGGCAGAGTCCAGGCGACGGCGAAGGGGTCAGAGCCAGGCGCCCAGGTGAGTCAGGACCACCCTGGGCGCTCTGCAGAGGGGCGCTGGGCCTGCTGACCCGGGAGCTCGGACTCCAGGCCCCAGAACCGGCGGAAATAAAGCGGAGCTGTTCTAGGCCACGCGGCTTGAGGCCCTTCACTGCAGCCACCGCCATGCCCGGCCCCGCCAAGGTGCACACAGACGCGGTGGCAGGCACACCGTACAGAGCACGATGGAGCGACGGAGCCCACATCCACATGGGGCACAGGGCAGGGCTGGCAGCCAGGCCACACCTGCAAACCCAGCAGGACACGGGACCAACCCGGGAGAAGCCGTGGTCAGGCGGTGAGTGCCTGCCTGGTCCCCAGGGCACGCGGGAGAGAAGGCCCCGGCCTCAAAGCAAAGACACTGCGGACACCTGCAGAACCCAGCAGTCACTCAGCTCAGCCCAGGACCTTGCCCACAGGGGCCTCACCGACAGCGGAAGGCACTGAGTCAATTTGTGCAGGCCCAACACCCAGTTAGGCTCCGTCTGTATACAGAAGGCCAAGAGGCAAGCAGCAGGGCAGCGAGTGGCACAGGAAGGGGAGAGCGCAGGGGTGCAGGGACAAGGGCTAAGCTTCCACAGCCACCCTGCTCCGGCCCCAGGGAGCTGCCCCCAGGGCCAGGGCCCCAGCCCGGGCGGCCCCCTGCTGCAGGGCCAGCAGTGACCTCCAGCGAGTGGGCGGAGCTGAGAGGAGGGGGAAGGGCTGAGTCAGGTCAGGTGTGGTGGGGGTCAGGGACAGGGCGGGACATGAACTCCAGCGGGTGGGCGGAGCTGAGAAGAGGGAGGGAGGTGGGGTGGGGGTCAGGTGGCGGGGCTGGATGTGGACTCTGGTACATGCTGGGAGCACGAAGTCCTCCATGAATGTTTTCTGAGTGAAGGAACCGACGGCTCACCCGTGAACGGCCAGCCCAGCCTCGCTGCTTGTCCACACCTGTGCACCTAGTGCCGGCTAAGGATGGGAGCACAGGTGGGGCCCGGCCCGCACCGCCCAGCGCATCCCTCCGGGCAGGGCCTGGTCCCAGGGTCCCGAGGCCTGCCCGTCTGGTCCCAGGGTCCCGAGGCCTGCCCGTCTGGTCCCAGGGTCCCGAGGCTCTCCCGTCTGGTCCCAGGGTCCCTAGGCCCACCCGTCTGGTTCCAGGGTCCCGAGGCCCGCCTGTCTGGAGGGGGCTCAGTGGGCATCCAGGAGCCCTCGTGCGCTGGGGACAGCCCCCACGCGTGACCCGTCCTGGCGCTTAGGGGCTGGGCCACGAGCTCAGGAGCTGCTGGCGCGCTGCCTCTGTTTCTTCTCAGCTTGTCCTGGAGCGCGGTGAGTAACACGGAGCCCTCCCGGCGGGTGGGTTCCAGGAACCGGCTCTGTGACAAACACGGAAGACCAGGGTCGCGGGGCAGAGGGCCGGAGCAGGGCTCGCAGGCGGGGGCCCACATACAGGAGCCCACACAGAAAGCACTAAGAAAATGGCAGCTGCTGGTGGACAGCGGGCAGGTGCACATGGCCAGCACAGAGCATCCTGGGCCCTGGCCCGCGAGCCATCCCCTCCCGGCACCCGCCACGGCACCACGGCTGGTGTCCCGGAAAGGCCCAGGGCCACCACGGTCTGCTTCTGCCCAAAGCACCCCCTGGGTGCTCATGGAGTCAGGCAGCCGCCACGCGTGCTCCCTCCTGCGTCCTCCCGGAGGGTGCTGCCAGCAGAGTGCATCCAGGGAGTCCAGCACGTCCCCAGAAACGTCGCGTGGACTCGGCACAAGCACCGGCGCTGGCTACGAGTGCCACACGGTCCTCCAGGAGCCTCGGCTCCACGCCCCAGGGGTGCAAGTCCGTCTCCCAACCCCACCCCGCCCCGCCTTCCCGGCTCAGAGGAGCTCTGGGAACACAGTGCACTGGGAGACGGGAGGGGCGTGGGAGGCCTGTGGAGGATCCAGAGGGAGGGAAAGGCCCCGGGAGTGGGGTAAGGGGTCAGAACTCGAGCCCCAGCCTGCGTTCCTGGCTCGGGGCTGGCGCTGAGGCCAGCCTGTAGAAGCTCAGGGCAAGTCGGGCACCCACCAGGGGCAGCGTACGGAGCTGAACAGTGCAGCGGCACGGCAGGGCGCTCCCCGGGAGGAGGGCCAGCACTGAGCTCTTCCCGCTGCTGGTCCGTGTCTCCCGGCTCCTGCCACCCGGCGCTGGGCCCTGGGTCGCAGCAGCAGGGGCACAGGAGGCTGCACGCTGGAGGAGGAGGAGGAGGAGGGAGAGGAAGAAGGCAGCAGCTGGAGCCCAGAGAGAGAGGCGGGAGACCGGGCCTGGCTGCGGGCCACGCCTGCCAAAGGCAGCTCTGACCTGGGCAGCTCCCTGGGAGCCAGGGGTGAGGAGGACGGCCAGCTCCAGTGTTCGGTGGCGGCTGGTGCCCTTGTCTGATGGCCGCTGTCGGGTCTTGAATCAGAGCAGCACACGGTGGGACATCAGGGCGGCAGGCGGGCAGCAACACCAAGGGAGACGAGGACCTGGCTCCTGCCCCTGTGGGAAGGTGAGAGCCGCGGGGGCGAGGGCCTGAGGGAGGCCAGCGCAGGGGCAGAAGGGGCTCGGGCCTAATGATGGTGACGAAATCGAGCCAGGAATCAAGTGAGCTCAAGCGTGGAGCCTGGATGGGGGTGGAGGGCAGCTGGGCCACCCAGGACCTGGAGGCCGGAGGCCACGGCTCTGCGGCTGCAGACCTGTGTCCCGCCGGTCAGGGTGGACCGCAGCACGCTGTGGACAGCTCGTCTCTGACGTTCTCGGAGTGGGGAGCAGGCAAGGGACGGAGCCCTCGCCGTGCTGGGGCCACGCACCACCCCCAGTGCGCACGGGCATCGGCGGAGGGGTCCACTGAGCAGTGGCGCAGCCGTCTCCCGTCTGTGCGATGGCGAAGGGACTCGGTCTCTGATGACTGCACTTGCCCTTGTGGGTGCTGGGATCCTCGGGGAGCTGTCAGAACACGGCGTGCCCACCCCACCTTCAGGTTGTTGGAGGGAAGAGATGCCTGGTGCCTCTGAGAAAGAAGGCAAACCCACAGTGTCCCGCAGTGGCCGGCACTGGGAACCAGGAAGGCCGAGAGCGGTGTGGTGGGGCCTCCCCGTGTCCTCGCGGCTGGTGAGGGAGCCTCGGTGCCCGTGCCGGTCGGCAGGGCTCCGCCCCCATCTGCACACCAGGGGCAGGAGTTGCGCTCCTTTCTGTCCTGAGCTGGGAGGCTTCCGGGTGCTGTCACTCTGCTCCGTGGCCCAGGGGAGTGCACACGGGCCCGCGGGGTCTCTACAAACAGCTCCACGTGATGGGCATTGCGCAGTGTCTTTGTGATTCGGCAGGAATCTGAGCCTGGAGACAGTGCGAGGCCTGGGCGGGCCGGCTTGCTGGGTGCCTGCGCCTCAGTATTGCAGAACCCCCTTTCTGGTGAGAAAGGGCAGAGGGCAGCCGTGATGGTGAAGTGGCCGGC